CTGCACCTGCTCCATCACTCTCAATCCACAGACACTGTGGTACAACGCAATGTCCAACAGCAGCTCGATATGCTCAATGGTCATCAATCATTCTGCTGTTATCTTGTACATATACTCAGTGGAATGAAAGAAGAACAGGTTAGGAGAACCAGTTGGCTTTTTTTCTTAATCACTGGTAACTTTTTGTCTAGGAAGCAAGTCGATCACTCGCTGGCTTGATATTGAAAAATAATGTACGGTCTCAATGGGCAAAATATCCTGATGATGTTCGGGAGTTTGTAAAAACAAATACATTAGCGAGCATAGCTGATCCAAGTGCCTTGATTCGCGCAACTGTTGGGATTATAAGTATGTTGAATGCTTATGTCTCTTTTTTCTTTAAGTTGCCTTTTGTAAAGTATCACAATTTTTTCCAGTTACTACAATAGTTGTTGAAGAAAGTGGAGTAGGTCATTGGCCAACTTTGTTGCCATACTTGGGGCATCTTTTAGATCAACCGGACCCAAACATGCAAGAGGTACAAGTCTCATTCTTTACAGTAAAAAATTTAATAGCTGATTCCTTTCAGGGTGCTATGGGTGCAATACAAAAGATCTTTGAAGATTCCGGAGATCGTTTAGACACCGAACAGCACGTACATCCGCTGATGCCAAAAATCTTGTCTTTTTTTAGTTCTGAAAGCGCCAAAATGAGGTATGAAATGGAAATACAACTTGGAGAAAAGAAGTCAAAAAATCTTTTTAGCTATGACACATCTCTTATTGAGTCCTTTACATATTTTTCAATTTTAGAAGCTACAATCATTTTAAGCTTAGATTGATAATCCAATCCATATAATCTTTATAGGGGTTTATCTATGAATTCCGTCAACAGTATTCTTATGATAAACAACGATCCTATCAGCGCAGTAATTGACGAGTTCTTGCAGCAGCTATTCGGCCGGGCGCACGATCAAGACCCAGTATGTTTCTTGGTTCATCTTTTTATTTACTCAACAAGCCCTGAGATTTCAGGAAGTTCAAAAACAGTTATGTCGGTCTCTTACATTATTACTGGACAGCCATTTTGAAAAATTGGCTCCACATCTTCCCAATGTTATCGATTACATTATCATGAAGACTCAGGTGGGTTCTAATTCGTGCGTTTACTTTTTTACACTATGAAAACGTTTTTTCTGCAGAAATTGTAACAAGTTTATCATTGTTCTAGGACCCCAACGAGAGCATTGCTGTGGAAGCATGCGAATTCTGGTTGTCATTGGCTGAAAACTCTGATGTTTGCAAAGAACTTCTATCGCCGTTCCTCGCAAAACTGGTCCCTGTGTTGATTAAGTGTATGCGATATTCGGAGAGTGATATAAT